TACTTTCACTATCTGCTTTCTGCCGTAGGGAAGACATTCGCTGATGTTTTTAAGGTAGGGGAAATGGTGGAAAATAGCATCAAGTTTTGGAAGATTGTAAGTCAAGTTGCCTTAAAAGCCAAAACACAAGTGCTTCAAAATGCATCTGGAAATATTGGAGGGAAGAAGAGAAGGGAGGATGTAACCACTATTGTATCAGCGCCTAAGACTCATGTTCTAGGTAATTCCCCACAACACTATTTTCCTTCCCAAGCTCTAGAATATTCTGTCCCATACACTCCATATCATGTTTTTAATGCACAACCAATGGCACCCCTTTCTTATCTATAATGGCGTGCACTAACTCCACAAAATCATCCACCACCCCCACAAGTTCATCAAATACTGCTAGAATTCCTTTCCGTCCTAGACCACAATACAAAAAGGGAAATGGCGTTAAAGATGAGTTTACTCCTATTGGGGAGTCGTATGCTAGCTTGTTCCAAAAATTGAGGACGTTAAATGTTTTGAGTCCTATTAAGAAAAAGATGTCGAATCCTCCCCCGAGAAATTTTGATTATTCTTAACATTGGGCATATTCTTCTAATGCCCCAGGGAACAACATAGAGAGATGTTGGTATTTGAAAAGGGCCATTCTAAATTTGATCGATTCTAATAGAATTATAGTTGAAAGTCCGAGTGGACCCAAGATCAATCAAAATCCATTGCCGAGGAATACTGAAACAAACATGCTGGAAATGATAAAGGGTCATGAAGAGTTTGCATCTCCATATAAGTCAATCCTTAGGGTTGGAACTGGCATTGAGAAGTCAACAAATGTTGTTGAATTAACAAAAATGATGCCTTTAGGGGCGGAAAATGTGTTTGAAAAGTTGAGTCCATCAAACACACTCATCTTAACTGTGAAAGGAGCCCTTGAAGATGTTTGGGCAAGCCCGAGTAAGGCAAAATCGTTTGTTATTAAAAGGCCAAACAAGCCTATCTTGATCGTGCAAGGGCCTCCTGTGATTATCAGGCCAGTATCCCAGCTCCCAATGACTAACCCCAAAGCTTTTCCTTGGAATTATGAGCCTACTCTCGTGACATACAAGGGAAAAGAAATTGATGAAGAAATAGATGAAGTAGGAGGAATAACCCGTTCAAGAAGATGTTATGTCCTGATAGAATTATGGAAAACTAAAAATGACCAAATACAAATAAAGAGTTCGGTCGTTGAAGGAGAGGCAGAGGAATGCCTAAGGAAGATGAAACTATCAGACTACTACGTGGTGGAACAATTAAGAAAAACTCCAGCCCAGATCTCTTTGTTGTCTTTGCTAATACATTCTGATGAACATCATAAGGCTTTAATGACAATTTTGAATAAAGCACATGTTCCTAGTAAAGTTACAGTGAGTCAGTTAGAGAAGATTGCTAGGAGAATATTTGAGGTAAACCGCATCACCTTTTCAGATGATGAACTACGTAAAGAAGGTAAAGGACATAACAAAGGCCTACATATCACTGTAAAGTGTGAGCTTTCGTATGTCACTCGAGTTCTAATTGATGGAGGATCTGGAGAAAATATTTTTCCTTTATCAACTCTACAGAAATTGAATGTTAGCGCTGAAACGGTCTGACTTAACAATGTATGTGTTAGAGATTTTGATGGGTAAGAAACAGATGTTATTGGTGAGATAGAGCTCGTACTAACCATAGGGCTTGTGGATTTCGCTGTGAATTTTCAAGTGTTGGATATCAACGCGTCCTACAATCTATTGTTGGCGAGGCCATGGGTGCATAGGGCTGGAGCAGTCCCCTAAACGTTGCATCAAATGATTAAGTTTCAATATGACTGACAAGAGGTAATTGTTCATGGTGAGGGGGATTCGTCAATCTACAAAGACTCTTCCTTCCCTTTTATCAAGGCAGATAATGAGAATGAGGCACTAGTTTATCAAGCTTCTGAGGTAGTGGTTATTGAGCATGTCCCTGATTGGAGTGTCATTTCAAAACCAAATATGCCCATCGCATCTGTAATGATGGTTAATGAATTGCTGAAACATGGGTTTGAGCCGGGTAGAGCTTAGGAATCTGCTTGCAAGGGAGATCTTATCCTGTGAGTCTACGAAAAAGCATCGGTACTTTTGGCTTAGGCTACCAATCTAAAGTCGAGGACAAAATGAAGGCAAAGAAGCAAAAGAGATATGTATAGTCACTTAACAAGCCTATACAACCAATCTACAAATCATTCATCAAAGCCCACGCAACAGAATCTTATCAATCATCTTTTTCAAGAGCTAGTGATGAAAGTTAGCGAAGAAATGATTAACTATTTTCAAGATTTATTTGTCGAGGTTGATATGGTGGAACTCGGAGAAGGCGCTAGCAACATAGATGTGCAATTCATTGGTCCTGATGTCAGGATAAACAACTGGGAGGCCAACCCTCTCCCCGTTAAAGACAAGTCTTGGTAGTCTGTCTTGTTTTTTCTTTTGTCGTCCGATTCATTCAAGAATTGTAATTCAGATCTTATCTTGTCGTTTTATTTCAAACATTCTATTTACCATTTCAATAGGATGTGATTGCATCTTTATTTCAGTCTAATATATTTGATCATTTTCTTTTATACAGTTCTTTGTATGCCGATTCTAGTGATATGACATGCATGCAGAATTTTTTGCCAGATCTTAATATCCAATCTAATCTTTGACCTAATATTAAATAATAAGTCAAGAAATAGAATATGATGAAGCCAGAGTATTTGAAGAGGTAAGGAGGGATTTCAATCATTTAGAAAATAAGTCAAATCCAAACATGAGTGAAACTGAGACGATAAATTTGAGGGATCAGGAAATTATTAAGGAGACTAAGATAAGTGTACATGTTCGACATCAAAAGGATGATATAATCAATGCCCTGTTTGATTACAAAGATGTTTTTGCGTCATCTTATGATGACATGCCTGGATTAAGCACTGACATGGTTGTTCACAAGTTGCCAATTGATCCTAATTTTCCTCCGATAAAGCACAAGTTGTGAAAACTCAAAACCGACATGAGGGTAATAATTAAAGAGGAGATCACAAAACAATTTGAGGCCAAAGTCATTCAAGACTCTCAATATCCTTCTTGGTTAGCCAATATCGTACCCGTCCCTAAGAATGACGTCAAAGTTTGAATGTGTGTTGATTATCGTGATTTGAATAAGGCAAGTCCAAAAGATGATTTTCCTTTGCCTAACATCCATATTTTACTGGATAATTGTGCTAAACATGAGGTTGCATCTTTTGTGGATTGTTATGCGGGCTACCATCAGATTATTATGGATGATGAATATGCAAAAAGAACATCTTTTATCACCCCATGGGGTACATATTCTTATCGTGTTATGCCTTTTGGTTTAAAAAATGCAGGGTCAACTTATATGAGAGCAATGAGAACTATGTTTCACGATATGATGCATAGAGAAATTGAAGTTTATGTGGATGATGTTATCATTAAATCTAAAAAACAGTTAAATCATGTGAAAGACTTTAGGATATTCTTCGAAAGGCTCCGCAGGTATAATGTCAAGATTAATCCTACAAAATGTGTATTTGGAGTACCATCGGGGAAGCTTTTGGGGTTTATAGTCAGTCGAAGAGGTATCGAGTTGGATCCTTCAAAAATAAAAGCAATTCAAGAATTGCCACATCCAAAGAACAAAACTGAGGTTATGAGCCTTCTAGGAAGGTTAAACTACATCAGTAGATTCATTTCTCAACTCACAACAACTTGTGAGCCTATCTTTATGTTGTTGAAAAAGAATGCTACAGTCGAGTGGACCGAAGAATGTCGAGAAGCTTTTGAAAGAATTAAGAACTACCTATCGAATCCCCCTGTGTTAGTTCCTCCCAAGCCGGGAAGACCTTTGATATTTTTTATGTCAGTACTGGATAATTCTTTTGGTTGTGTACAGGGTCAGCATGATGACACAGGGAAGAAAGAGCGTGCCATTGATTACCTCAGCAAGAAGTTTAATGTTTACGAAGTGAAGTACACCCTTCGTGAAAGAACGTGTTGTGCCTTAACTTGGGTAGCACAGAAGTTGAAACATTTTCTTTCATCTTACACTACTTATCTCATCTCTCGTATGGATCCATTGAAATATATTTTTTAAAAGCCCATGCCTACAGGCAGGCTTGCGAAATGGCAAATATTGCTCACAGAGTTCGACATTATCTATATAGCGCGGACCGCAATGAAAGCTCAAGCATTGGCAGATCATTTGGCAGAGAACCCTATTGATGAAGAATAGGAACCACTTAAAACCTATTTTCTAGATGTAGAGATATCTTGTCACAAAAACGATCAAGGTTGGAAGTTATTCTTTGATGGTGCCTCTAACAGGAAAGGAGTTGGAATAGGAGCTGTTCTTATGTCTGAATCACGGGAATATTACCCTATATCAGCCCAACTTAGATTCTATTGTACTAATAATACGTCTGAGTATGAAGCGTGCATTTGGGTCTGAGGTTAGCTGTTGACATGGGCATCCAAGAATTCTTAGTGTTAAGAGACTCAAACTTACTAGTTCATCAAATTCAAGGAGAGTAGGAAACTCGAGACCAAAAGCTCATACCATATCAACATTGTTTACAAAGTCTTTGTCAATGATTCGTGTCTATAAAGTTTAGACACATTCCCAGAATGCACAATGAGATTGCAGATGCATTGACCACTTTATCTTCGATTCTCCAACACCCTGATGACGCTCATATCGACCCTTTATACATATAAATTCGTGATCAACATGCTTATTGCAACATGATTAAGGAGGATTTGATGGCAAGCCTTGGTTTCATGATTTCAAAACATATCTTCAGTCTGGAGAATGTCCGTCGGATGTAACCAGTAATCAAAAAAGAACTATTCAATGACTATCAAGGGTTTTTTTTCTTAAGCGGAGGCATAATGTACAAGAAGACACCCGATTTAGGTCTTCTAAGGTGTGTAAATTCTCAAGAGGCTTCCACAATCATGATTGAAGTACACTCAGGAGTTTGTGGACCTCATATGAATGGATATGTTCTAGCTAAGAAGATACTTCGAGCAGGATATTATTGGCTCACCATGGAGCGGGATTCCATACGATTTGTTCGTAAATGCCATGAATATCAAATACATGGTGATTTAATACATTCTCCCCCTTATGATTTGCATGCAATGTCTGCTCCATGGACTTTCGTGGCATGGGGAATGGATGTGATTGGACCGACAGAACCAAAAGCATCGAATGTTCACAGGTTCATCTTGGTGGCTATTGATTATTTTACAAAGTGGGTGGAAGCAGTAACTTTCAAGTCAGTGACCAAGAAGGTCGTCGTGGACTTCATCCATTTCAACATGATCTGTCGGTTTGGTATTCCAAAGGTGATTATAACTGACAACGCCGCAAATCTCAACAGCTACTTAATGCAAGAGGTATGCTACCAATTTAAGATTGAGCATCGAAATTCGACTCTGTACCACCCAAAGGCAAATGGGGCTGTAGAAGATGCTAACAATAATATAAAAAAAACTTCGTAAGATGGTTCAAAGTTCTCGACAATGGCATGAAAATTTACCTTTTGCTTTGTTGGGTTATCGCACTACAGTCCGTACGTCAGTGGGCGCTACCCCATATTCACTGGTATACGGGACTGAGGCAGTTATACCTGCAGAGATTGAAATCCCTTCTTTACGAATTGTTGTGGAGGCTGAAATTGATGATGATGAGTGGATAAAAACTCGGTTAGAGCAATTAAGTTCGATTCATGAGAAGCGTCTGACATCAGTATGTCATGGACAATTATATTAGAAAAGAATGGCACGGGCATATAACAAAAAGGTGCGTCCCAGACATTTTAAAGAGGGTCAATTATTGTTGAGACGCATTTTGCCACATCATGCCGAAACCAAAGGCAAATTTTCTCCAAATTGGAGAGGACCATTCGTTGTTAAAAGGGTATTACCCAATGGTGCTCTTTACTTAGCAGATATAGAAAGCAAAGTGACAGAAACAGTCGTCAATGTTGATGCTGTGAAAAGATATTACATATGATTTAGTTTCGACATTAGAAACCCTTATGTTTGGGCTCGACATTTCGAGGGTTGATTCACGGGGATCTCTTGGTTATGATTTTTCCTTGACTTCTCATAAAAAAAACAAAAAAAAAACAAATTGCTTGAACTATGTTTGACCTGATTCTTGTCTCGGCAAGATACGTAGGCACCTCTAATATTGGATTCGGTTCAACCAAATACAAATCCAAAAATTTATATTGTAGTATACTGGGGCAAAAGTCGTTTGTTTATTCATTCGGTCTCTCATCTCAAAGCTCAAATTCAACCCCATCATCTAAAGTCAAGTCATATAAAAGTCAATAAAGCTACCGTGCTAGAACCATGAGACTCGAGAGGTGCCTAATACCTTCCTTTCGGTCAACAGAATTCCTTATCCGAATTTCTGGTTCGCACACCAAACAAAGAGTCATTTCCTTTTGATTAGAGATTAAACAATAAAAGGTGACTTGGAAGACCGTAACTCAATTCAAAGTGGCGACTCTAAAAAACTTCCTTACTTTATTTTTGTTTAGGGAACACTTGGTTTACTGACATAGAACACCGAGCTAAATGTTGTATCTAGTTGAAACATTAGACTGATTTAACATGTTCTACCATACAAAGTAGAATAAAACAGAAACGTAGCTTTCTAGGTGATTCCACTAGCTAGTCTTCCGATGCGGGCAACATAGTTAAGGAACTAGGCGATAGGTGTGAACTCTCTAGATGCCCATTTGACACTTGGAGTATCATCTCATGAGAATCCATAGGGTGAGTATCCCTCATATGGGAGTCAACACCTCATGTTGAACTGTATGGTGAATCTTCCTCTAGGGGAAGTCAACACCTCCCCATCCCAAGTTCTCTCTGTGCTAAGATAAGGTCCCTTTTAATATGTCTTTAAGTTTCCTATTATTATAAAAACATAGTTTAGGTTATAGGGTCTATCCCTTGTATAATCAACATCTTCATATCTCAATAAGAATTGCATGACTATTGTCCTTTCATTACAATTCATACATGTGGGGTTAGCCCATTTACATAGTCATATCATATTAAAGAACATTGAAAAGTTATAACCATCCTTATAAAATTTAGATCTTAGACAACAACTCAAAATACATAGTTCAAGACATTTTAATTGAACATTATACTATCACTATCAATTTTAATATAAGGTATACTTCAATACAACTGTCACATCACGGAATACCTTTGTAACGCTTTTAAAATCCAAGACGTGTTTTAGAGACTAACATTAATGTCATAAGGTCTAGACACTGTTTAAGGTCCAGTTTAATGTATATAATCAATTTCATAAGTCTCGAAACAAAATGGTCCAAGAACATCCATGACATCTGGAAACTAGTTCACGGAGGTACAAGCGTGTTTTAGCCTATTCAACTAGCTTTTAGAAGTCAAAAAATGATGAGATTTTATTTAAGGGTGTCTAACATGTGTTTTTAAGTTTATTTATAGTCGAAATTTCTGGTTATGACACCCCAAAGATGAATGCGGAGGTTTTTGAGAGAGAAATACAGAAAAGTACCACCTACAGAGCATGTGAGAGTTCGTCGTGCCCGTGACCGTTCGTAGGTGGCATAGTAGTGCAGTTGCTGAAGGAAGATGGGGTAGTCTAACCAAGGGTATGGTTACGGAGAGCGTAGCGGACCGTCGTATCCATGACGGTCCGTCCTCCTAGTTCGTCATGAAGATCAGGGAAGTAGTCCAGTACCCAAATTCCAAGAGTTCAAGTGTTTTGGAACAGAGACCCTCGACGGACCCTTGTTCCTGTGACGATCCGTCATACCTGACGTCGAGGGTAATGAATATAGGAGAAGAAGCAATTGCACAATTATGGGATGACGGAGTCCATATGGTCCATCGTGACCACAACGATCTGTCTCAAAGTCCGTCGACCCAACCGCATTTTGACAGATTTCCAGCAAATAGAGTCCTGATTTAATTAGGTTCTTATTGTTTATAAATAGTTTGAAAAACCTCTTTTTTGAGGTTAGACCCTTGATTATATTTTAGGTTGGACTCTTGATTATATATTAGACTCTTTGTGAGACTCTTGAATATTTTTAGACTCTTGTAATTGATTGTTGGTCACTTTTGCTGATTAACCAAGTGAAGTTTTGGATTCTATTCTTTCTCATTTAAGTAAGTGCATGAATTCTTATATTACATATTTGAATATTGTGATTATGAATATGGGTAAATAAACTCCATAACTAGGGTTGTGGGAACAATAGGTAAATAATGAGGGAAAACCTAACTAAACTGACAATTCTAAAATAGTGTCTTGCATGTATTGATAATTCTTTCGCTTAGAAGTCTTTTTAAAGGATGGCCAACATTAGAACTCTCCTTAATGGTACTTGCCAAACCAAGGAGGTAGATAATAGGAAAAGAATTATCAACATAGATTTAGTTTATACTATCTAATAGGCTAGTATTGATTTGTACGAGGTAATAACTTAGTCAAATATCAAATACGATGCTTAATATGAGGTAAATGTAAGGGTTAGTTTAGCAACACACCTAGGAGGACTAAGGTGAGGAATGAAAATTTCTAGGTGCCGGACAAAGGATTTAGAAATACATAACTTATCACTTTGCATGCAAGATACTAGGAAAGAATAGTTATAGTTAGAATTATCAAGTTATGAACCTTTGGGGAACACGTAACTCTAGTTGTCTCTTTTAATTTATATTAGGAAAGAATATATTTATACTAAAATTTCTGTTAGTTGTCTTTTTTAATTTCTCTAGTTATTTTCATTTATTTAGAAATAGAAAACCCCCCCTTTTATCATTTTTGCTTTCCAAGGAAAGAGTTGAATGAACAATAGTACTAATAGATTGAAGTTAAGTCTAAACTATTTTCCTTGTGGGAACGATCCCAACCGAATTAGTAGGGTTATTTACTTGACACGACCACTTTACTTCTTATTTGAGAAGTAAGTTTGAGCATATCAATATCCTGAGCTTGTAAAGTTCTAGCTTTGGCCATCTGTACCAATGTTGTCCTTAATTCTCCATCTGCAATCCTAGTTGAGTTAAGAAGCATCTCTGTTCTAGTAGATGGAGCCTAGCGAGAAACATGAATTACCCAGTAGCCGCTCCTCCAATCTCATGTCCTGCTTTTCTCCTTGTATTCATCTTTTAGAAACTTCAAGAGTTGATTTAAGATACACTCTTAAGACCAAGAAATCCGACATTATAGAAGGCACAATAAGATTAGAAGAAGGGAATTTTACTTTGCATCATGTAGTCTCTAATCTAGGCTAGTGGTGCACCCATTTATATTCTATCTTAGTCTTAGGATTGAGTTAGTGGAGTATGTTCCACTAGCTCTTCTTTCCCATATAATTTCAGACTTTGTATTGGTGCCATGTTGTAAAGTATTTAGTTATTTATATTATAAACGATTTCTTTCATTTAATGATCTTAATATTAGATGGTTGATGCTGAAAAAATTATGATTATATTTGAAACGATTAGAAAGAATATTAAGCAACGAAAAGTTCAAACTTCCACCAAAATTAACCTAGATGAAGTAATGATGCCATATGTATGCTTGTCTGCGATCTTTGAGAGGTGAACAACGCCAGTATCATATGTGGTCTAGATTCTGGTCATGACAAAGTTGATATTAGAGCCGTAGGTTATATTTCGATGTTATAAGTTCACGTCAACAACATTGAGCAGTTTCTAAGTCAAGGTAGTGAAGTGCACCACTATCCTGAATTTGTGATTGCATGGTGCATGGTAAAAATTTCCTTCTTTTGATCTTATCGTGCCTTTCCTAATGTTCGATTTCTTTATGTTATTAGTGTGTCTAACATGAATCCTTATTGTTTTTCAGAGAATGAATACTAGGAGGAACGTTGGTCAGAGGATAAGAGGAGAAGCTTCTGGGAACAATCATGTTCCACCCCTGGCTCCAGCTGAAGGACTAGTTCTGCCAGTTAACCCAACTGGGTTTACTGATGTGGAGGTGCGTTTATCTCTAGATAAGATGGAACATGCAATAACTATGCAGGCCTATGCCATGACTGCCGAGGTCAAACGATAGAATGTAGAGAGGGAGAACCCACCGGTGCCTTGCATGGTTGACAGGCTGAGATACTTCAGCAGGATGAACCATCCTATTTTTACAGGATCTAAGACTTTAGAGGACCCCAGGAGTTTGTGGATGAGGTGCATAAGATTTTGGTGGCTATGAAGGCAACATACACTAAGAAAGAAGAGCTGGATTCCTATCACCTAAATGATATTGCACAGACTTAGTGCAAGATGTGGCAGGATAGCCGATCTTTCAGTAGAGTTCCGGTCACTTCGGAGCTGTGTAACACAAACTTCATGGAGAAATTCTTTCCCAGGGATATAAGGGAGAAGAAGGTTGAGGAGTTTATAAACCTTAAGCGGGGATCAATGACACTCAGGGAGTATTCCGTGAAGTTTTTCAAACTATC